GATTATTTGTCAAAATTTATTTGCTTACATCGAGTGTGTTTGGACAGCCAATTATTTGGCCAAATATATTTGCTGACATCACCATTACAATTTCCAATACACCTTTTTATCTTTCCAATTACTTTTTTATCTCACATACATCACATCACAAAAAGTGCTACAGTAAAAATATTTCAAATAACTTACAATCCAAACACACTCATCATCATTACAATTTTCAACACACCTATTTATCTTTCCAATTACCTTTTTATCTCACATGCATCACATCACAAAAAATGCTACAGTAAAAATATCTCAAATAATTTATAACCCAAACAGAGACACATGTGTTATAGCATATAACATCTAAATAAATAAGGGTATGAAATAGTATATTAATTTGAGTCAAGATTGAGTTTTTGACTTGCATAAATTAAAGTTAATGGATAAATGCTCCCGAGTTTTTGACCCATAGTGTGCTATGATATTTTGCTTTTTTACGAGGATCAATAATAATACTACTCTTAATAACTTTCTATTGAAAACTAAACAATACTCGAGGTCTACATAAGAAGGGTTTAGAGTTCTATAAAATTACTGATGCCCATGAAAACTCGTATTTGATGCTTTAGAGGTCTGACTATAAACAACATTTTCTAAATCAGGTGCAAACCCTGCCTGCTCAGGGAAAGAAAGAGTTGAGTTTTTTTTTATATTTTTTATCGCGCCACCCATGCGTAATCAGCAATTCTAGTTCCCTTAATCTTGTACTGGTACAACATTGTCCGTTTCAATAGAAACATGGCCCACCAACGGATGTTGGTGCAAGTGGAAGAGGTTTGCATCCCTTAACCATGGTCTCGAGTTTGAAACCCATCGGAATGAAAAAAATAACTTTGGAAGAGTTTTCTCTGCAAGGGATCCGATCCGACTCGAACAGGATTAGTCGCAGATCATAAAACGGATGCGAACATCTGGGGATTGTACCAATAAAAAAAAAAAAATCGAAGCATGGCCCCATTCAGGGCAGTCTACGGTCATTAATTCGGTCAAGGTTGGCAACCAAAATCGGACATGTCCAATTTTCACATTTCGTCGCGTCATCCAAATCTAACCCAACCAGTAATACGTTGGACTTAGTTAAAAGTTAAAACCACGTGTGTTTTGCCCAAGACAAAAGTACGGGGCTAAATCTCGTATGACATCTCAAAGACTATTAGTACAAGATTATCCACCTTTGTTTCACTTCTCCTGCAAGTTTCGTCCATAGATATACTACTAATATAGAGCCTTAAACTTTATCCTCAAGGATTTAGCAGAGCAGGGTGCGTAATGCACTGATATGGTTCCATAGTGGTTCAATTCTCGTCGATTTTTCGTAATTTCACTTTTCTACAAAATCATGATATATAGTAGCATTTTCTCAAGACTCAAAAGTCTCAACCAACACTCCGGCCCGTTTCTTTCGCATCAAGAGACTAGATTATGCATCAACTGATTATGCACAGCACAACCTTCTCAAGGAGAAACACACTAACTTATTTTCAGAGTTAACTTCCTAGTCTTTCAAACTCTATCTAAACAATAATGTGGCATTCAAAGCTTTACGTTGATTCATATACTTTTGATTGAACAATGAGAACCTGATAATTAAAAGAAACTTATTGACATAACATATCAGCTATAACTTGAGAAGCCACCACCATGCACGGTTTCATTACCTCTGTTTGCCATTTGACTCTTTGTTCACATCCTAGCAGCTTAACGTTGTGGTATCTTTAACATGCTTGCTAAGCCCTCCTCCGCTAGTAGGCCTACATTTTTTCAGGACACAAAGCTAAAAATGAATTTGTAAAACAAAATCACAATCATTAAATGAGGCAACAAATTAGCAAAGCAGGAGACTTTCACCACACATAAAATGGACACTGCAATTATCTCTTTCCACCCAAGGAAGCAGGCACACAATTGCATGTAACCTCATCATTGTCTTGCATTGGTAGTTTCATGGTAAAGAGAGATCATTAACATTTACTCTCTTTTTTTTCCCCCTTTTTTTGTGGACGGGGGAGGGCGGGAGGAAGGGCGAGGGACATGTATTTGATTTCTTGATCCTTCCTACTCTTCAATAAAACAAGCCTCCATAAGGAAAATCAACAGCCCTTTTTTTTTTGTTTTGTGGGGTTGTTGGGGATGAGAAATCTGAGGAACAACATTGCCATTTAACTAACAGTTGAACATATTCTCCAGGAGTTAGATGTACAACAATCGATTGAGGCACAGATGATCAAATTTCCAGCTAGATGCTAGATTTGGCAGTAGCATTTTCAATTTCTATACCCCAAGCACAGATAATCCAAGAAAGAGCACAAAAGCACTGAGAATGGAAGGTAAACAAAAACCAATACTTACAGCCCGCTTAACACCTTGATGCTGACATAGAAAAACCACTGCAGACTCACAACTGGCCCCACAATAGTCATTCGAACAGGAAGACTTCTAGTAAACAAATTGACAAACCCTGTATAGTTCTTTGCAGCCTTAAAATTTACAGCATGTGAAATCCAACCCAACTAATTCCATTTACAAAAAAAGTTCATTTAAAAACAGGTTTCAATTGTCTACTTTTTTTTTTTTGGGCAACAACAATTGTATAATATATTCCATCATAATTTACAGAGAAGGGGAAGTCTAAAGATACATGTGTTAGGGATTAGCAGGTATACAAATCTTACTAGATCAAAGGAGTGCTTTGATACCACCCTTGAATTTTTTTCGCTACAGGTTGGATTTGAATTCTCACCTACAGTTTTAGAAGGGACTTAAGTCCCTCCATGGTGGCCACTCAAGCTTAGTAGTTTTTACCTGCAATACAGGCCCCATTTTGCAAGTGAGTTTTTTGGATGTTTGTTTAAAACTTTACTGTAGTTTATGTAGAAGTTTTTTAAAAAAATTTCGAAGCGTGTGTTTTTTTTTGAATATTTTGAAGTGTATAATTTAAAAACTTTGAAAAGTTTTTAATGTTACTGTAATTAAAGTTTTTAAAAAACTTGTAAAAAACAAACTTGACAAAAAACTTGGCTGCCAAATAGTTTCAGCCTTTCTGTTGTAAAGGGATGACACAATAAAGAGATCAACAGGATTAGAGATCACGGTACGAACAGCTCCAGCTGCATTAGCTAGCTAAACATGTCACACTAAGTTGTCGAACTGTTCTTCGTTTCTCTTTTGGACAATGTTCTGATATATAAAATCCACCGAATGTTCAAATGTTGAAAACATAATCATAGAAACTGCCAAAGATTAACCAACTCAAAAGTTTAGTGTCGCAACAGTAGTGTTTAATGCTTATCACTTCATATTAGCTGTGCTCTGAGGCGCTATTAAAATTTCTGACACTTGAACTGAAAGCCTAAACTTGGGTGAGCTCAACAATGTGACTATGAGTAAGGTTTGTATACCTGCTAGTCTTCAATACAAGCCTCTTTAGGCTCCCTCTCCCTTCTAACGTAGGATAGAATAGATTATACAACAGTTATCGTCTCGATAAAAATAAAAATAAAAAACAATGGACAAGGGATAATGTGACTATGAGCTCCATGCACAATTCCTCACAAAAAACTCAAATTTGAGTTTCATATTCATGAACAAGGGATGCCACATGCTCATGACTTTGCATTCACATGACAAATCCAAAATTACAAGCCAAGATGTAGTTGAACCTTATTCAATGTGTAGCATGCGACTCTGTGGGCAGGAAAACTTCTTTTGCTTCCTAAGTTAAATAAGCAGGCCACATTTACACAACGCCAAATTGAGTACCAAAAACAGCACCCAGAAAGGGCAGGTCCAACTCCAGACTTATTCTTACCTAAATGAAAAATGTGTCTATGAGCTGTATTACAATCCATTACTTTTTAATCCAAAATTACTTGGGCTGAGCGTAGGTTAAGAGATCGAATTTCTTGGCCTACATTCTAAAAATTCAGACTACCGGATTTGATTGACCATAGGCCCGTATCTTCGAGTGTAATCAGTTTGCCCCAAACTTCAGCTACCCAGCCCATGTTTTCCATCCTTTTCCATTTCGCAATTCCTTATAGGGATAATTTCAGAAATCTTCATTGAGGTTTTTGACAATTTCACACTCCTCTAAAATTTAAAAAATTTCGTTTACCTTCCTTGATTTGATAGTTTTAATAACAAAACTTTAAAATAATATTGACTTGGACAATTTTTAAAATAAATATCCAAAAATGGCCTTGTATAATGAATTTTAATTTATTTTTCTATACAATTATATGATTATTTAGTATAATTATAAAGAAAAAGTGCCAAATTTTTTATGTCCATATCTACTATTTGATAAACAATTATTTTAATACTATGATATGATATTTTTTATGGTATTTTATTATGAATTTAGATTTATAAGATAGAAAAGAACATGTTGAAATAATTTATTTAGAGTTTATAAATTTTTGAAATAGTGGGATTATCATAATTTAGTAATACTTTTGGGCCATTTCCTTTTGATTTATTGTTATTTTTAATACCAAAAAATAGAAAACAAAGATCAACAAAACATTGAACTACATCTAAATTAACTGGTAAAAAGAAAAATCACTAGTTCGACATTTGGTTATAATAGAAACCTAGAGGTAATAGTGATAGTTCTACAATTTTATTGATAAAAAAATTAAGAAAAACAATAAGAAGAAAAAAGAATAAAAGAATAATTTTAAAACTCATTCTAATTATAAGCATATCAAATAAGAGAATTTTATTAAAATATTTAAGAGTAAAATTATCATTTTAAATATAATTTTGCTTTCAAATCTCAGGGGAGCCGAGTGAAGAGAAGGTTTCTGAAATTATCCCATCCTAATATTAAAATAAAGAAGAAAAAACAAAAAGAGCAGAATAAATTATATTTTTCGTTTGGTGGCAGGCAGGCACCGAGCCAGCGAATAGGTGATTGATTGATAATGACACCAAAAGATAATTGACGTGGAGCGGAGGGAGTTGAGTTGTGTTGTGGCTCATTCCAGGGAGCTTGCTTGTACTGTAGTCTAATATAGTACTCCGATAATTACAGGTAATTTAGCTACGTGGTGGACTAGTAGTACTAGGTGTGTATGTGTATATATAATAATTTAGTAGAGCGAGAGCGAGCGACTGATTGATTTTCAAATTTTTGAAGGATGAGCCAAAGCTTTGCTGCTTGTTCTGTTCGGTTTCTTTCTTCTTGACAGCTGGTAGGTACTCATCATCGTCGTCATCATCATCCTCCTCCTGCTCCTGACCTCCTTCCTGCTTTGTGTTAATTTATTAATTTATTATTAGGCTCTTTATTTATTTTTTCTTCTTTTGGGGCCGAGAGAGAGAGAGAGACCCACTTGAATCAGGCGACAAAGTTTTGATTGGGAGGATGTGTTTTCCGTTGGTTGGGCAGCAGCAATACAAAGGAGGAAAGGAGTTGCGTTTCTGCTTCCCCAGTCAGACTCTTAACAAAGCACTTCTGCTGCTTTGCTTAACTTAGCACTACTACTACTACTACGTTGTACGTACTATTTTATCCTCTCTGTCTCTCGCTCTCTTTCTCTGTTTTTGTTTTTCTGTTTGCTTAATACGAGTAGTAGTTAAATAACAAAATCATCCCCCTACAGGCAGGCGTACAGTCACGTATAGGTAACAAAACAACATACTTTGCACTACTACTGCTGCTGCTGCCGTTACTATATATAAACTTTGAAAGTTGGGTGGTGAGGGCCAGTGATCAATCAAAATTCTACTGCTCACAATCATGTCAAAGTAGGGATTAGCTTTTTTTTTTTTTCATTTCATATAAATATACAATAGAAAACAAAACAAAAGCAGCACTAGTCAGTAGTCACAATCATTGTTACAGGGTGAAAAGTGGGGAGGAGCAGTACTGGAATTAATATACTAGATAGTAGTAGTATTATAGAGTACATGCCGGATGGCCTAGACTCGGATTAAGGCGTTTTTTTTTTTTTTTTGGCTTTTTGATTTTGGATTTTGGTGTTTGTTGGATCTCATCCTGGTTCTGTTCCACCTTCAGTTGGCCCTATCGAATCTTTTCATCCCCCCCTCTTTCTCTCTTTTGTTTTTTCGATCATTATTCGCCGCCCAGTTCTCACAATCAATCCTTTCCAGCAGCATCCCACTAGTTCAGTTTCAGGACAAACGAGGAGCGGAGAGATTCAAGACCCCAGGTAAATTTTTTTTTTTTTTTATATTTCTAATATTTGCTTGCTGTTTCTTCTCTTCTCTTCTTTTTTTTTTTGTTTTTACAGGAAAAGAAAAAAAAATCTGTCCTTCCTCTATCTTCTTTCTGTATACTGCTAGTTTTCTGTAATCTTTTTCACGTTTGTTTTACGAGGCTTTACTATTTATGATTGTGCGTTGGTTTAGAAATGATACTAAGCACTACTATGATGCTTCAATCCCTCGTCATGCTTTATCTGCAACCTTTTGTTTCAAAATCTTCTCTCATGTTTTATCTGATTATGAATTTGAGGCTCTACTGAAGATTTTGAAACTACGGCTTACGGATTCTGTATTGTAACCTGTTATGATAGTATATGCATATTGCTTGGTGCTTACCTGTGACGCCCTCCAGTGGTTTCCCTGTTCTTCTTCATTCCTTGAACCCTAATATAGACAGTTCAAAATCAGGTTCAAAGTCCACTGGCTTACTTGCAGCAGCCACAGCCCTCTTTATCTTCAAATTTGAAAATTTTCTATTCATTACTCTTTAACTTGGCTGCCACATTTTGTGTGCGGCATTTCAGCAAGGAGAGATTTATTTGCATATTCTTCGCTCCATAGCTTAAAATGCTAGTCTTTCTGTGACATTTTGAATCTCTGACATATTGACGAATGTTATTTTTGGGTGTTGTTCGTTGTTTGCTTCGTTTATTGTGTGTCTACACATCACATTCTGTTGTCAAAAGGATGAATGCCGATCATATATCGTGGATTCATGGGTTTGTCTAGTTTCAAAGCTCTGTAGTTTCAGGCTTGTAATTCAGTGTCACATATGGGGTGTGAATTATAATGGGCATCTTTCTGGAGTCAGTCATTATGCTTTTGCTGGTGAATTAGGATAGTTATCTGGACTACCGGTGCTGAGAAACTGCATTCCAAGTTTTCACTTAGTTTGCTTCTTTTGCAGCTAAAAATTATGTCTTGGTTCTTATTTCTCTAGTGTCAATTCTTGAGTTCAGCAGCAGTTTTCCTTTCCTCTCGTTATCAAGTTTCATGAACTCTAGTCCTGTAGAAATGACAAAACTCCCGTTCCCATGAAAGGGTTTGGGTGGTTCAATTGATACCTCTCTTAAAAGTTACAATATTAAACCTCTCAATCACTTTTGGCTGTCTTGCTGTTGAAGGAAGATGAGTGGAGCAGTCCTTGTGGCTATTGGCGCTACAATCGGTAACCTATTGCAAGGATGGGACAATGCCACAATTGCTGGTAAATCTTTCTCATCATCTAGTTATGTCTTCGCTATGCATGTGTGAACGTGAATGTATATTCTTACTAGACGCCTATTATTTAGGATTAGTCACATTTTGCGAGGATTGGATTGGTTTGTAGTCCACACTTTTATAAGCACTGCACAATTTATTTTATTCAAATTTTATATTTCCAAATATGCAAGCACCTTTTTCCAAATCTTATATAGTTTTATAACTGCATGTTTTTCCCCGTATTTTGTTGTTGAAACATAAAATGTGTACTTGTCGCTTTATTCTTGTAAAAAAAATGCAGGGGCTGTACTATACATAAAGAGGGAGTTCAAATTGGAGTCAGATCCTACTGTAGAAGGTTTAATCGTGGCCATGTCGCTTATTGGTGCCGTATTGGTTACTACGTTCGCTGGCGGTGTTGCTGATTGGCTTGGTCGTCGTCCTATGCTTATAGTCTCGTCTGTCCTTTATTTTGTGAGTGGTCTTGTGATGTTCTGGTCCCCTAATGTGTATGTCCTGCTTTTGGGAAGGCTGCTTGATGGGTTTGGAGTTGGCTTGGCTGTTACTTTAGTTCCTATCTACATATCTGAGACATCGCCTCCAGAAATTAGAGGTTTACTGAACACTTTGCCTCAGTTTTGTGGTTCTCTTGGAATGTTTTTGTCATACTGCATGGTGTTTGGAATGTCATTGATGAGCTCGCCAAGCTGGAGATTAATGCTTGTTGTTCTTTCGATTCCTTCGATTGCTTATTTTGCTGTAGCAGTGCTTTATTTGCCTGAGTCTCCTAGATGGCTTGTTAGTAAAGGGCGGATGATTGAGGCCAAGCAGGTTTTGCAGAGGCTCCGTGGCAGGGAAGATGTAGCTGGTGAGTTGGTTCTTGGTGTCCATTATCTGTACAAATATTTGTTGAAGGTTGAGATAATGCAATTCTTGACAGAATAAACATGCCTTTATCTTTATATAAGATATCATTTTTTCAGTAGTTGATATGCCCAAAACTTTGGTCTACACTATGTTTGTTTCATTTTCTGAAAATTGCTATCTCGGATGATTGGTCGTCAATTTATCCCCTTCCTTTCTTGTTCTTTAAGTTTGGATTCAGTGAATTTGTTTTTCCGATGTGGGTATTTGAATTAAGTAACAAACAGGTGATGTACTTAACATCCTGAAGGAATGATCAATTTTCCAGTGAAGAAGAAGAAGAGTGCATTTCTTTTGTTAACAGTATTATAAATTGAGAATTGAGTGAATATAGTGTCTGTCCTCCATGGAAAATGGCTTGATAAGTGACAAAATTTGGAGAAGGCAGAAATGTTTAATAATGCCTTGCAATTAAGATGGTTTGCTGGAGAGAAGAATTTGAATCTACATAGCCGATGAATTCATGGTTTTGAGTTGGAGTCCTTGTTGATGGGAAAGGAGGATTGAGTTTATGTTCAACATTTTTCCTTTTTAATTGATGTACCATACTATTGAAGCATAGAAAATCAGAATCACGTGAGAGATAAATCCCCTTACCTCTCCCAAGCACTGAGGCTGTGCCCCTGCTTTTCAACTTTTGACTTGAACAATTTTCTCTGCTCGTTCCTCCTTTCTATACAAATTTATAGGCATGGCTTCTCCCCTCCATAACAAAACGTTATGCTTTATGGTTGAATAGCTGCAAAATATTTGTTGTATAATAGCTGCAAAAATTTTTTCTTTTATCAACTGAATTGGTTTTGAGAGCGTTTCGGCCTTTGCACGGACTTGACAAAAATAACTCACCGTTGTACATAGGAAAATTTGTTGAATTTTTATTCTTACTTGTCTGTGACTTCTATATTCTTTTCAAACAGGTGAGATGGCATTGTTAGTTGAAGGCCTTGGCATCAGCAGTGAAACACATATTGAGGAGTACATAATTGCCCCTGCTGATGAACTTGCTGAAGATCAGGAGCCGAGTGCAGACAAAGAGCGGATAAGGTTGTATGGTCCTGAAGAAGGAAAGTCCTGGGTTGCTCAACCTGTTACTGGGCAAAGTGTACTTACTCCGATATCTCGACAAGGAAGCTTAATAAACCAGAATGTTCCCCTTATGGATCCTCTAGTTAGCCTCTTTGGAAGCATTCATGAAAAGCTTCCAGATACTGGGAGCAAAGGAAGCATGTTTTTTCCACACTTAGGCAGCATGTTTAGTGTAGCAGGAAATCAACCTAGAAATGAAGAATGGGATGTAGAGAGTCTTGGCAGAGAGGGAGAGGATTATGCATCTGATGCTGCTGGAGTTGAATCTGATGACAATTTACAAAGCCCACTAATATCACGTCAGACAACCAGCCTAGAAAAAGACATGGCTGGACCTCCTTTACATGGAAGTATTTTGAGCATGAGGCAGGGTACTGCTATTCGAGGGGCCAATGGGGAAACATCTGGTAGTACAGGCATCGGTGGCGGTGGCAGCTTGCATGGAAGTGGATAGGAGGGAAGGTCAAGATGGAAAGAAAGAAGGAGGGTTTAAGAGAATTTATTTGCATGAGGGTGGTGTTTCTGCATCCCGCAGAGGTTCTGTGGTCTCAGTTCATGGTGATGATGTGCCTGCAGGTGGCGAATTCATACAAGCTGCTGCTTTGGTGAGTCATCCAGCTCTATATTCAAAGGAGTTATTGGATCAGCATCCTGTTGGACCAGCAATGATTCATCCATCTGAAGCTGCTGCAAAAGGGCCAAGTTGGAAGGACCTACTTGAGCCTGGAGTTAAGCATGCATTGGTCGTTGGAATTGGAATTGAATTGCTTCAGCAGGTAACTATTTCCTGCAAAAAATTCAGACATTTTGGTTTTTCTATGTATCGTTTAGTTGGGGGATTTTCATTCTCATATCTGTTCTAAGTAGATATTCAATTCGTAGCAACATTTGATGACTAGGGTCTTAACACTTAGTGATATATGACTTTTTCAGTTTATCAGCATTGTGCTTTACGTTGTTTAGAAATTTTATGAAGTAACTATT